GGTACTCAAAAGAAGACAAAAATCCAAATTAAACGTCTGGTTTCAAGCACAGTTCTCATTTTCTTGGTTTGCTTTGGACCATACCACATCCTGTTGGTAATTCGCAGCTTATTTGAGAACAACTGCAAGTTTGCAGAGAAAATCTTTAATATTTACCACTTTTCTCTCTTGTTGACTAGTTTTAACTGTGTTGCTGATCCAGTTTTGTACTGCTTTTCCAATGAGACCACCTACCAGAATTTTGTCAAAATGAGAGACTCCGGTTTAACATGCCTAAGATGTTTAAGGACTAAAACCCAGGTATCCTACCAGCTGAAAACTCCAGAAACCCTCAGAAAAAGCAACAGTGTACCAGCAGTTGAAGAGCCAGAGTTATTAAACAAACTACATACTGTTAATGAAATGAAAGACTCTTCCATCGCCAGTATAGACAGACTTTAGCACCCATTAGAAAGGTAGACTGATCTAAAGTTTCCAGGTCTAAGTTTGGGTTTCAGTCTTTGGTTTATAAATGTATTGCAACTGCTTTACATTCTAAAGAGCTTAATAACTCATCAGTACTGTAAGCAGAGCTGAGTTGATACTCTTTCCACAGGGGGAATTCCTTAGTTCCCTTGAGTAACCTGGGCCTTGACATAGGGCAGGGAAAATATACACCAGGTCAGTTTAGCTCAGGTCACATGTATATATTACTGAATCAGTATAGCGCTAGTCATGGGGAAACTGCTTTTCTGATGACTGGACTGGCTGAAATAAGATGTTAGTGGTGTGAATTTTCCATAATGGTCTTTAATTGCTGATTGTTTGTCTGCGTATTGACTTTATGAGAAAGCTGTCAAACTCTGTGATCACCTTGCTGAAAAGGTGGAAGATGGAACAAATTATGTAAAATGAAGTGATAAACATTTCCCAAAAGAACATTTTTTTGTGTATGTGTATGATTTCTGTAACTTTATCCCAATCATCCTCACGCCATGCAACAACCAGTGAGCAGGGAATGCAAAGACACAGTCAAACTAAAAAAGCAAAGAAACCAGCCAACAAAATCATGAGGGATATATTAGAAGAGAATTCACAATGAAGCTTTTTTCCATAATTAATAGTTAAGTTCATGTCTGTTGGGTCTTGAGCCACTGCTCTTTGGGCTTGGTCCAGTGCCACTGATTCCCACTGACTTCAGTGGACACTCTATCTGGAACTTAGTGGGCAATTAATTTATTCCATGGACTTCAAAGGAAGCATTAGTTTGGGGGCACAGATAGAGTTGACACCACATGCCAGTGCACTGATTCACAGTATTTGAGGATACACATTCATTTAAATCCATACTCTGCTAACCAGTTTAAAATTTGAATTGTTGTGTTTTTCCATGTTTCTGGTGTTTTGTGCAGCACAGAGCATAAAGGCACTTAAATTATAATAAATTGTAAGGCAGACAGCGTGTTGAACAGGATGAGTTTAACTTCTGTGTTCCCCAACAGATTTTTTTAAAATTCTATAGTTTGATTTGTTATAAGGGGAACCACTTTTCCTGGAATGTAGTGTCAAAATGCATTGTATGTAAAGTGATCCATAATGGCTTTTTGTTTACACAGAGGGACCAGAAAAAACATAGGGAGTTACTATTCTACAACGAAATGTATTAGCAATAAAAGAATGGAGAATCGCATATGTATAGACTCCCACAATGCTTCCTACCCACATCTTGTTTCTTATACATCTTTGCTTTGCTAATCAATACTGCCTCACCTTTACTTCATCTCCTTTTTGAAGTCTAATTTTTGTGCCTTCTTGCCTTCTGCCCCTCACACCCTAAAATCCCACCTGCACTGCTGCTCCTGGCATCCACCTTCTGCTTTCAAAGCTCTCCTTAAAACACACTAATTCTGTGCAGTGCAACCCACAGACAGACAATAACACACAGCAATGTAAATACCCAATATATTTTAAAAGACATTCAAAGGCAGACCTTTTGCATCTTGTGTCTGATTTGTGTTGTCTGTATGCTTAACAAATAATACATACTGAACGCTGTACTGAAAATCACTGTGAAAGTATACACTAGAAATAATTAGGGAATGCGTTTAATAAATAATGCATTGATTATATTTTCCTCCTGTATTGATTTGATCTGTGATTGGAGTAATTATCTTTTGGCTTTGGCCCACAGAGTCCATTTGTGAGACTTCAGATCATTCTCTCTTCCCTCCTTGTGCCAAAAGAAATCATATCCCCACTCCCAAAAGAGGATTAGGTCTGTTTACATTAACACTCAGCTTGTTTAGTTCATTTAAGTTTCTTTATGCTGAGAGCTCCCACGATGCTGGGTTGATTTCCTTATACACGCACTTTTCTCCTGATCATTGTTGTTTAACGTTACTTCCTTCCAAACTTTTCCCATTCCATTCTACCCTTTTAGTGCCTTCTAGGTCACATGGCAGCAATTCCAAATTGCACTAAAGCAAATCTAGAATGTTGTTGGGAATGCAGCCTGCACAAACACATCTTTAACTATTCATTCTCCCTGAGCTAAGATGGTGTTTGGCACGCACCAGTTTTAGATTAAGAAGCTTGAAGGCATTTGTTGCCTTGTTTATGTTTAGCTACTTTATAGTCTTCCATGTCAATTAAAATATGGAGCTGGAATGAAGAGTATGGCATCTTACATGCAACTGTCATCTACCAGAATAAGGCTAATCTGAGTTGGTACATGCGTGGGGCCAAATTTCATTGTCAGTGTAAAAGCAGATTGAAACCTGTGCAACTGAGTCAGAATTTGGCCCTTAGAACTTTAAAATTCCATCTGTCCTACAGAAAGGGAGGTGTTTGTGGTTTTCTTTTTCTAAACATGAACTCAGTGTTGCTTAATGAAATTCATCCTGCCAGACAGGTGCAATTTTAATGTCACGACTATACCAGGAGTTTTATCATCACAGATTTTCACTATGACTGCCTTTTACTCTGCATATAACATCATATGCCACATTGCAGTTGTCAGGAAAATGCTATACATCACCACCGGATTAAAGTCTCATTAATGAAAAAGACTGGGATTTTTATTATTATTTAGAGAAAAACAACAAAGTGTTAATTTTAGTATTTCCCAGTAATAGCTATCTGACATATCCCCGTATTTGGACGGAAGATGGGAGGGGATAAAGACTTACTAATTCAAACACTGTCCAGGTTCCTTCCCCACTCTGAACTTTAGAGTACAGATATGGGGACCTGCATGTGAACCCCTAAACTGAATTACCAGCTTAGATTTGGTTTTGCTGCCACCACTCCCAAGTACTAACTCCCTTCCCTGGGTAGCCTTGAGAGACTTCTTTACCAATTTCCTGGTGAACACTGATTTAAACCCTTGGATCTTAACACAAGGAGAATTTAACCATCCCCCTCCTTTCCCCCCACCAATTTTTGGTGAGTCCAGATCCAATTCCCTTGGATCTTAAAACAAGGAAAAATTAATCAGGTTCTTAAAAAGAAGGCTTTTAATTAAAGAAAGAAAGGTAAAAATCATCTTTGTAAAATCAGGATGGAAAATAGCTTTACAGGGTAATCAGATTCAAAGAGCCCAGAGGAACCCCCTCTAGCCTTAAGTTCAAAGTTACAGCAAACAGAGGTAAACCCTCTAGCAAAAGGAACACTTACAAGTTGAGAAAACAAAGATAAACCTAACACGCCTTGCCTGGCTGTTACTTACAAGTTTGAAATATGAGAGACTTGTTCAGAAAGATTTGCAGAGCCTGGATTGATGTCTGGTCCCTCTTAGTCCCAAGAGCGAACAACCCCCAAAACAAAGAGCACAAACAAAAGCCTTCCCCCCACCAAGATCTGAAAGTATCTTGTCCCCTGATTCGTCCTTTGGGTCAGGTGTCAGCCAGGTTACCTGAGCTTCTTAACCCTTTAGAGGTAAAAGGTTTTTGGAGTCTCTGGCCAGGAGGGATTTTATAGTATTGGACACTGGAGGGCTGTTACCCTTCCCTTTATAGCTATGACAAACACTCTTGACTAAATTTAGTGTTGTAAAATACATTTGTTACAGCTGCTAATTGGTGGTTATAGAGTTAAGTAAATGCAGTCTGTTAGTGGAGTGCCTTCATCCACACACTGGACTGTGTGTGGATGCAGATGTAAGAGAGAGAGAGAGACCCACACAAACCAGGCCTCTCTCTCACCAAAGGGAAATTGCTGCAAAATGTCAGTTTCATTATTTCCCCATGCTTTACATAGGAGTCATGCAATGCTACTATTATTTCACTAGTTCTGGTAAAGCTTCCCTTGTTTATTCACGATCAAAAGAATACACAGTCAGAGGGGCTGCAGGAACTGTGTAGATCAGTGGTTCTCAAACTTTTTTTTCCTACGGACCACCTGAAAATTGCTGAGGGTCTCGGCAGACCACTTAATGATCTTTCCAAATGTTGTTTGTACCGTTAGCTAACTATTGTAAAGCGCTTTGGATAAAAGCACTGTATAAAAAAAAACCTTAATAATAATTAATGTTTTTGAGTTCTACACATAAAGGCACACAACTCATATTTTAATATCAGTAGTCTTACCTTTCTAATGCGATGGATGTGCCCTCTCTCCCCTGCCACGGCAGTGGGAACAGGCGGGGGAGGAGGGGGCTCTGCCCCGCCACAGCAGCCACAGAGCTGAGGCTGGGAAGGAGGGCCGTCGCTCCCTGCCAGCCGCAGCCCTGGAGTTGGGGAAAGTTGCCTCTTTCTCTGGCTGCTGCAGCCCTGCATGTCCCAAATTCACTCCACCCCCCCCTTCTCACCCCACTGCCCTCTCCCACCTACCCCTTATTCCCCCCCAAGGCCACCACCTCACCTTACATGTGCGTCTTCTCCAGGGTCCAGGCACCTAATTAGTGGAGCCCCGCCTACGCGGCTCCACTAATTAGATGGGTGGCCCTTCATTCTCTTGTGTGCGGCTGCCCAGGCACGCACCTTAGAGGGAACTAGCCGCGGACTACCTGAATGGAGCTCACGGACCACTGGTTGTCTGCGGACCACAGTTTGAGAACCTCTGGTGTAGATGATACATTTAGGACTTTCACTGCCATGAAGCCTCTTTTTTTTTAACCTGCACCTTTATTGGAGCTGCTTGCCATACTGTCTTTTAAAAAACAAGTTGCTACAAGCACTACTTTCTGTTGCAGCTATGTGGCTTAGTAAAACAGGAACAAGCAATGGGGTTATAACACTTCTGCATTTAATGGGAAGAGACACTTGATTTTTTTCATGAAACACGGGTCACCTTTTACTATATAAGGCCATAGGCTGTATGAGTGAGTCATAACTAAGAGTTTTATACTTATCAAACAGGAAAGATGATCTTGTGGTGAAGGCACAAGCCTGGGACCCTTGAGAGCTGCATTCATGTCTGTGTCAGACTCCTTGTGTGATCTTGATGAAATCATTTAATCTCTCCAGCTCTCATGTCTTCATCTGCCAAATGGGGCTAATGAAACGTCCCTATTTCACAGCAATGTTAGAAGGATAATCATTAATGATTGTGAGGTGCTCAGACACTAGTGATGGAGGCCATTGTACCTATTGGGTTCCTGGAAGTGGGCGGGCAGAAGCCCGCCCACTGCTAAAGGATCCCCCCCAGCCTAAGGTGAGGATCCACAGAACCCGAAACCCAACTGATTTCGGGGGACAACTAATGAAATAACAGGGATAGGAGTGTGGTCACAGGGTCAAAAGAAGGGAGCCTGATGGGGACACCGAGCAGAGAACCCTGGACAGCGCCCACTGCTCCTCAAAGGCGTCAAAGGAGCCAGTGGACGCTGCCCAGATACGTGAACGGACAGAGGATCGGAAACAGGGCCCACAGTCACAGGAGTCTCCATCAGAGACCTCCTCTCCCTGGTTTTATATATGGCCATTTTAGCCAGGGCCAGGAGGAAGCTGACCAGGAGGTCCCATGACTTTGTGGGGCCACAGATAGGGAGTGCATAGAGAAGGAGGTGAGGGGGAAAGCGCAGCCAGAAACGTAACAGAATATTCTTGAGGAGCCGGTACAGGGGCTGCAACCTGGCACACTCCAAGTAAAGGTGCGCCAGGGTCTCCCTCACGCCGCAGAAGGGGCAGGTGTCTGGGACAGGGGTAAACCGCGCCAAATACACACCCGTACTCACGGCCCCGTGAAGGAGCAGCCAGCTGATATCCCCGGCGGGCCTCGGGACCAGGGTGGAATATAGGCTGACCCCCTGGGGCTTCTCACCCTCTAAAGGTGGCAGGAGGTCCTGCCACTTTGTGTCGGGGTGGGACACAAGGGTGAGGAAGTGAAGGGTGTGGAGCACGAGCGTGTATAGATGTTTTCTTGGCGTGGTCTGGAAACGAACCGGCTGCAAGTCATGCAGCCGGCTCATGAAGAAGGGGCGGGGGGGCCAGTTAGGTCCACAGGGCAGGGGCCCGATGAAAAGGTCCGGAGGGCCCGGGGTGGAGGGGGCGTGCCCTCTCGCAGGACCCGGTCGAGGTAGGCCCGAGCAGCAGGCAGCAAAGCAGCCCACACCTCCTGAAGTATGCGCCGGGAAGTACAAGGCCTGGTTTTTTTAATCAGGAGGTCATCTAGTTGAATCCCCTGCTCAAAGCAGGACCAACCCCCTGACAGATTTTTACCCCAGTTCCCTAAATGGCCCCCTCAAGGATTGAACTCACAACCCTGGGTTTAGCAGGCCAATGCTCAAACCACTGAGCTATCCCTCCCTCCCCAAATGGAGTCCATTGTAGCAGGGTGGTTGCCCGCTCCTACCCAGAGCGGTTTAAAGACAGCCCTGGGAGAGGGCTGGGGCAGGGGAAAAGCTCTAAAAGCTGGGCTGATTGGGGAAGCAGCCGCAGCTGGGCCATGCCCCAATCAGGCCACAGCTGGCCGGTATAAAAAGGCTGTGAGCCAGAGGCCAAACAGTCTTCCTCTGCCTGTAGAGGGAGAAGGGCCTGGCTGTTGGGAGCTAGAGACAGGGTACCTGAGTGGAGCAAGGCTGGGGAAAGGCAGAGGAGCTGGGGAGCTCCAGCCTGGAAAGCCCCAGGCTGCAGCCTAGCAGAAGGCCAACAGGTACTGGGGGTTGCAGAGGGCAGCCCAGGGGTAGGCAAAGGCAGCAGGTCCAAACCCAACCTTGCCAGTGATGAGTAGGCTGATACTGCAGTCTGCCCCAGGGCGTGAGGCTAGACGATGACTGGCAGTAGCCTTATACTGAGGTGAGGTGGGGATAGTGGGTGGGGGTTTCCTGGGGAGGGGAGACCCTGAGAGAAAGGGGTTACTGCCAGGGGGCAGCACCCCAGCTAACAGGGCACCGGAGTCCAGGGAGGAACATGGGGGCCAAGCGGTAGTGGATCACCGGCCTGCAGAGGGCGCTCTGGGCTGGAAATCGAGCTAATTCCCTAAAAGACCAGTAGGAGGCGCTACAGGGCTGAGTCCGCCCTGCTACAGCCATATAAGTACCTACATATATAGAACAAGCCTTTTCTGGTCTTCCATACCTTGTTGTTAGATTGGGGTGGAGAGATAATCTAATAGAAACTTTAGAGTTTAGAAATGGTTAGGGAAAAGTCATCACGGTATCTGCTCAAGCAGTTTTTCAATTATAACTGAGTGTACGTTGTAGAAGGGCAGTCCATCCACTTCCATTTCGAGACTGGCAGTTACTCCACTACGGACTCCATGCTGTATAAGTATTTTCAGCAACTTTTCTTCCTAAAACAAGGTATAATTAATATATTACTAATGTAACTAATAAGGCAAAGAATATTCCTCAAAATCTTTCAATTAAACATTAGAAGACTGTGACCATATCTGCCTAAGAATTTATTTTGGCTAGCAGTATCAAAAATATTACCATTCTAAAGGGGTCAAAGGGTACTTTTAGTAGCAGGAAATGCAAGTGCTAAGGAATTAACAAACAGCAGTATTCATAGTATCAGAGGGGTAGCCGTGTTAGTCTGAATCTGTAAAAGGCAACAGAGGGTCGACTAACAGAAGTATTGGGAGCATAAGCTTTCGTGGGTAAGAACCCCACTTCTTCAGATGCAAGACTTGCATCTGAAGAAGTGAGGTTCTTACTCACGAAAGCTTATGCTCCCAATACTTCTGTTAGTCTTAAAGGTGCCACAGGACCCTCTGTTGCCTTTTAGCAGTATTCATAGATACCCTTTAATTACTGTGCAATGTTAATGGTACCAAACCAAAAGCATATTAGTGTCCATTCAGAAATTTGAATCCACTGTGTTGAGATTCTGGCTAGCTTCATGTTAGTAAATTTCACAAAGTGGAACCAAATACATATTCACACAAAGCATCTTAAAGACTATCTGGTTCCCCCAGAAAATAATGGCTTAAAGCAGCCTGGACGTGACTTGTTCTTTTATTTATTTATTTATTTATATATATATATACACACACACACACACACACAAAAGTCAGAAACAGACAGATTTTAAAGAAAAGAAACAGTGGAAAAGAGAAAAGATGGGGAGAAAGAGAAAATACTGGGATAATCTGTGCAACCGATATCCAACTTTGCACAATGATCAGCAGCCTCAGCTTCTACTGATTTCAGTGAGAATTGGGGGTGCTTAGCACCACACCTGATTGGATCCTAATACAATGAGAGGAGAAACAGGAAGGAAAGAAAAGAAACATTTTTAGTACTTGTAGTTCGCTTGATACAAGAATTCATAAACCAAAAATGTCAAGTATTCCCGTTCATGAAATGTACACTATTTGTATAGAAATGTTTCAAACCCTATAGATTACAATAGTTTTACTACAGTGTTTGGCTATATGAATGAAGTATACTGTAGCATTATTATACATATGTTTAATGTACTTTTTGTGTGTGATTACATTTGAAATTTTTCTGGAAGCACTGGAATAGTCTCCCAAAGCCAGTTAACAATCGAAAATTCGTTAGCTGGTACCCTGTTTTTTTTAACTGTACCCCATAATGATTGCTAGCTTTCTTAAATTTCCTGATCCATGTGATATATTTCACAGGCAAAGCAGTCTTAAATAAGTCACAGCTTTTACAGTAAAGAACCAGAAAATGCCTAGTTACATTATGTCAAACTGTACACAGCAATCAGTTAATCAACTTCTTATAGAAAGCATCTGGCTTCATCTTTTGCATAAGTGCCAATTTTCATAAGACGGTGACATGATTCTGATCATAACTGTGCTTTAACATCTAAATATATCAAGTGTAGAATCCAGTTGTAAATTTAAGTATGAGCCCTTTCCCCATGCAAAAAGTGTTGCTGAACGCAAAATGATATAAACTAAATTTCTCCTCTTGACTCATGAGGGAGAAACAAACTAGATGAGTTTATTCTCATCTTGTAGCTATAATTCTTTTACCTTTAGCAAGTACATTTTACTTGCTAAAGATCTCTGGCCTGACTACATTGAAAAAGCTTCTCCTGTTTAATACGATGTGATTGTCTCTGCTAAACTATATTCTAGTGTCAGATATGTTACTCTGTGTGTGTCTGTAATGGGCAAACACGATGTGTAACACTTTTCCTTAGCTGTGGAGTTCTTTGCAATTCACTCTCAAACCAATGTTTACAAAAGTACTTTAAACTGAGCACAAAAATTAGGGCAAGAAGAAATTCAAATTTAATAGAAAAAATAGCAAGTAATACAGTAGAAATGCACTAATTTGCACTAGTAATGGGGAAAACCCATTTGTGAATTAACACGTGAATAAATAATAGTAAAACAGAGATAGTATATCTTTATATATTCATTTATGCAGACAACTATAGTTCAGCTTGAATTTGTGATAGTACGTAATGTGTGAGTGAATGATGTGTAGTATATTTTGTAATACTAATAATGAAATTTTAGCAATACAGCAACTTCCAAAAGAAATGGTTCTTTGAGATGTAGATCTACTGGAAGAAGAAACTTACTCTAGCAGTGGTTCTTCAAGATGTGATAAAGATGTGTATTCCACTTAGATGCATGAGCACACAGCATGTCGGAGCTAGAGATTTTGCCTGACGGTACCTGTAGAGGGGTGGCACCTCATGGCTGTGGCCCCTCCCCTGGCTATATGAGACAGCACCACCCCGCTGAGTTCCTTCGTTCTGAATGCTCCGGAGAGAAGACTCCAATGCACAGGGGATGGAGGGTAGCCTGTGGAATACACATCTGCATAACATCTTGAAGAACCACACTTACAGTAAGTAACCATTTCTTCTTCTTTGAGTAGATGTAGAAGTGTATTCCCCTTAGGTGACTCACAAGCAGTACGCTGTCCAGGAGAGGCATGTTAAGGGTCTATCGAAAGAGGGATCACAGGACTGTCCTTCTAAAGCTTGCATCAACTTTGGAAGATGTGATAATAGCATAATGGTCTGTAAATGTGTGTATGAATGACCATATGACAAATATCAAATATGGAAAAGTCACTGAGGAACACTATCACCATTGCTTGCACTCTCATCAAATGAGACCATATCAGCTGAGGAGGTACAGTTCAAGCTATCTTGATATGCACAATCTTGATACAGGATGCTATCCATCTAGAGATGGTCTGTGAAGAGACTGCTTGCCCCTTTGTGCAGTCTGCATATGCCATGAACAGGTGAGGCAAAGCACGAAACACTTCAGTCCTATCCAGGTAAAAGGCTAGACACTGTTTGACATCCAAAGTATGAAGGTACTGTTCCTCCGGGGATGAATGCAGCTTAGGAAAAAATACAGGTAAATACACTGCTGGTTCAAATGAAACTCAGACCCAACTTTGGATAAAAACCTTGGGTGTGGTCATAAAGTTACCTTGTCTTTGAAGAACTGTGTGTAAGGAGGCCCACCCATCAGGGCCTGCAACTCTCACATCCTCCTTGTAGATGTAATGGCTATGAGGAATGTGGTTTTCTGAGACAAAAGGGGCAGTGGACAGGAAACAAGGGGCTTGAATAGAGGGTCCATTAGAGCCGCCAGAACCGTGTTTAGCTCCCACAAGGGGACTGGCTCACGGACCAGAGGATTAAATGGAGAAGCCCTTTTTAGAATTCTTGTCATCAAGGCATTGGAAAAGATTGAGTTTCTGTGAACATGAAAGATTGCTGCCAGATGCACTCTTAGTGAACTGACTGCAAGGCCCAATTTCTGTAGATGTAGTACAGGGGCGGGCAAACTTTTTGGCCTGAGGGCCACATCGGGTTTCCAAAATTGTATGGAGGGCCGGTTAGCAGACACTGTGCCTCCCCAAACAGCCAGGCGTGGCCCGG